CCACTGCCACTGCTCCCACCATGGCCATTGTGACCACCACGGTCAATGTGACCACCACCGCCATTGTGACCACCACCGCCATGTACCAACATCGTCTGAGACTCCATCAGGCAATGTTAATGACGCATCGACCATATCCAAATCAATATGTTTGGCTTCCATTCAACCATCCACTAGCGGTACACCTACGTACGCCGCGATACTACAACCGACGCTATACAAAATTTAATGTGCATCAAAGATAACTGAAGAATTGCTAAAATACAAAAATCTTGCCTTATTAAAGCTGTAGATTTTAAATCGGAGATTTTCCAACTTCATACAGAGACAAAATTAAAATGATCTTAGTTATTTTAAGATTTTGGCAGTGGATAGTGATAATAGTGGCTGGCAAGGAGTCGCGGTATTGACATTGAACATTGTGATGATTCCGTGTTTGAATCTGACCACATATATAATAAGTTATGTTAACAATATTTAAAGAATTATGATTTACTTGTACCATTATTCTTGGTACTAAAGTGAAGCACTTTCTCCATTGCAGTTTTTATGTATTTCTGTACTCAATATTCATTGTAACTAAAAAGGTTTCCTTTAATAATTGTATCAAAAATTATCTTTAAAATCACTGGTGAAAAATAAAGCATGTAACTGATTTTTTTTATTTATTTTATTATTTCATTATCCTAAGAGGTCCAAAGACAACAGGTTGTAAAAATATGGTTTGTTAATTTAACAGATTATTTGCTCGATTTATGTAGACATTTGTAATTTTTTTTTTCGATTTAAAATAGTTTTTTTGTAACACTACATTGTGAAGTTTTAGTGCTATATTTGTAATGCAATAAATACTATTTAAAATTTAAGTGAGTGGACAATGTAGAAATTAAGATTTTTGTGGATTCTTGGATGATATATAAATTAATAATTTCACCCACGTGTTCTATTCACGGAATTTTCTTCTCCAAAATTGAATTTAGTTCTAGATTTAATGTACTTCTGAGTCCTCTATTTCTTGAAATTTTCACTCGAGTTTATCTAAAATAGATTTAATAGAATTAGTATTAGAATATAAGATTTTTGTGTATGGAAATATCCATATTAATTGACACTGATTCTAGGATTTAATTTAATAAGATAATAAATTGATATATGTAAATATTTAATGTTCTTTTATTTGTCTCCTTTTTAATTGTTTTCTTAATATATTACGAAGGACTTCCAAGATACTAAGCTGGTGAAAAGGCAATTTTGGTGAAAAAACAAATCGAAAATCCATCCAACGTAAAGTAACAAAAAAAAAATAGTTTCTAAAACCTATTTTATTCAAACCCCTATTGGATGATTATCTCCCTCTCTTTTTCCCACTCGCATAAGGTTAGCCACCACATTACAACTTTTCGTCCTAATAAATCTGTTTTCCGTCATATCAGTCATCATTCCCCTGATCATGTCAGCTTTTACGTAATCCATATATCTTCCTTTGCCTGTCATACTATAATAATATCCATTCACATTCGCATTTATAAGATGCGAATGTTTGAATGGATGGATGGATATCAGAAGTGTCTCCAAGAACACATAGGTTATTAATTAAGGCTTTTTTTCGCGTGGACAGTGTGGGCTAGTTATTTATAAAATATTTAAATATTAAATATAAAAGATAAATTATTGAGTTATTTTTGTTACATGCTGCTGAAAATATCACGTGACTCGGAGCACCAATCAGAGCGCTATGATTTCATTCCGAACTTCCTGTACGGTAACAACTGTCACAGTCAAGTTCAAAGTATTACTGTTGAATTATCTCTCTCAATAATAAGTTACAATTATAATTTTACAATTGTTATTACAATGAAGATCTTACCGAAGATTGAATCTCTTAATTTCAAGGTGGAAATTTCTTCGCTAGAAAGGATTTATCGCAGCGGCGCTTAGAAACATTAATATGTAAGTACCTACATATAATTTCGTACTAAAAATTTATACAAAGTAGACTTATTTTAGAACATAACTCAAATATTTGGTTGCATGTTAACTAAGAAAAAGTTGATGTTAAGTTACAATAATGTAGTTAAGTAATCAAACATACAATCCCATCGATTCATATCATGAATCTGACTTAAATTGAATATTATTATTAACTATATGTGAAATTGGAAAAGTTCCCTTACATATTTTTTTGATTTTTAATATTTTAACATATTTCTATTGACAAGACTGTATACGTAGAATATTTACATCTTACTTTATACTAATATTATAAATGCGAATGTTTAGATAGATGTGAGGGTGAAAGGATGGATGGATCTTTGTTTAAAGGTATCCTGAACAGCTGCACGGATCTTGCTGAAATTTGGAATAGATGTAGATCACAGTCTGGAAGAACAAATAGGTTACTAATTGAGTAATTTTTGTAGTAATGCCGTGCGAACAGAGTCGCATGCGACTGCTAGTATACCATTAATAGTGTAAACAATATTTGAATTTGTCATCAATGAATTAATTTTGTGTAAAATTATTGAATTTTTTCTCAAAGTTTTATGTTATTATAATTTCATTATTTATCTATTTACCTGCGACCTTTTAAAACAATATTTAATATAGTATAAATAATGAAACTGGAATATTCTCAATCGTAAGCTGTTTCGTCGGGTTGGTATTATAAATCAATAACTGATAACGACTTTCCCCGTCCGCCGTCCTTTCAGAGTGAATTCCTTTGATCAAAGCTTATTACTAACTGCACCAGTCTGGCTTTTAAATAAGCCATTTCGTAGTCTCTTTGCTAGAGATTCCGTAATATTAAAACTATATTACTTACAAAGCTAAGACAGGTAATTAAAAATGTTTTTGCGATAGTTCCAATACGTAGTATGTAAAAAAAACTTTGAAGTTGGGAAAGGATGAAAATCTCATAGGTAATATGCGAGCATTAATAACATGTTTAATTCGCAGTGTAACTGCAAAAAAGTGTCTTAACAGACAGACGGACGGACGACAAAGTGATCCTATAAGGGTTCCGTTTTTTTCTATGAGGTACGGAACCCTAAAAACAAAGTAACGAAAAAGCTTAATAACATAACATAAAACAAATATATCGTCGATATTTTTTGAGTGGATCTTTTTATTTTGTCTCAAAAAACATGACGGTCATTCACAGTGAATCAATTTTCGCATTTCACACCGCGGGACGACAAATTAATATCTGTCATCTCGTGTTTGATTGAGGGTCACAAAAAAACATTTGCCCAAGTGAATAGATATTTGTTATGAAAATATTTTCTTTTATAAAGCGCTTTGAGTGCCGTGGGAAAATATTGAATTTGAAAATTTGTTAAATTCATTTTGAAAACATATTGTCCATTCACGACATTTTTGTCGTCTGGGTATCACTTCAAACGCGTAAAAAAATTTTCACTACCGAAACACTTATAAAAACATGTTTTCATTCTTCATCAATCATTTAAAATAACAAGAACAATAATATGTTTTTGTATTCACCTTTGGGCAATTGAAACACACGGTAACGTATAGGTACAGAACGTAACGTAATTACTAAAGATCATACCGACTAATGTCCTTGTAAAGTTATCCGATGTTCTTACGGTGAAGGAAAACATCGTGATGCAATCTGCACATAACTGCGATGCAATTTAAAGATATATGTAAAGTCAAGTAACCTGCAATTGGCGAGTGTAGTTGACTATGGCCTATTCACCCTTTATTTGAGGATTCGAGTCCCTTAGTGGGGACGTATAGTGAGCTAATGACGATGATACCGACTATAAAGTCTTATTCCACTGTTATTAGTTATATGTAGCGGTTATAAGTTACACTAAATATCTAAGCAAACTTTTAGGAATTGACCTCAATATATTTATTAGACTCAATGTTAGCGAACTCGTGATAATATTATTACTAAGATTGGTACTTAACAAGGCGATCATGTGTTAAATGAGATATAGTGTTTGCACGAACCGCCTCCTCGGATTAAGTTTATACTAAGAGCCTAATTATCTAGTAATCTAGTCAGGGTTTAGTACGGTCATCGAATTTGTAATTCTATTATTCCTTTATTTGATTAACTGATTCAATCTAAATGTTATTCTTATATGACCTTAAAAGATAAAGGCTTTCCCCGTCTGACAATTAGGGTAATGTTTTGCAAGCGTATGTAAGTTTGTTTTTATGTATATGGGTTTGTAAATTCCATTGTGACTAGAACATAAACTACTGAATCGGTTTAATTTCAATTGAAGATTTTAAAATGTTATTTTAATATGCAGACAATAGATGGCGCTGTTTAATCTATTAGAGCCTGTCATTCAAGTTTTTTGGTTTTTAAAAATTAAGGTTATGTTATTTATGAATATGATGTTGCAATCTCTACAATTGTTTAACATTCTATTGAAGTTAAAGTAACCTATTATTTCGACGTAGGATATTTTATTTAAAATCAATACAATATTAGCAGAAATCAATACATTTAACAGTGGTAGAGCCCGCTTTAACATCTTCGCACGAATTGTCCCGGCTCGCCCGGTGAAATACCACGACCACACAGAGGACAGGCGTCAAGTGGAAGCAATTCCGCGTTTCGTCTGATGAATGTGTGTCCCGGAGGCATAATTTAGTCATCTTTACCTTCCAACCCTTTTTCTTATAAGGAATAGATGGGAAGTGGAAGTGTTCTTTCCGGATGAGAGGATGCATGGAAAGGGAAAATATTTTCTTTCTGTGCATCCTCTCCTCCGTCGATTTAAGGTAGGCAACGCATATGCAATTGCGTATGTCTATGGGCAACGCTCACTTCGTTATTTCAGCGATTTCAGGCCGCTCGCTCGTTTGCCACCGTATGATATAAAAAAATGAATATTGCCGTTCCATTAGCTGTCTTTCTAACCTGTATTTCATTCGTGTAATCTT